AAGTGAATTCTGAATGATAGAACAATTCACGTGAAGTAGTCAACTTCTTGAGGTAATACACAATGATATTTGTGGTCCTTTTGACATTAAATCCTGAGTGGTAGAAAAATATTTTATCTCCGTTTATGATTTGATTTCTCACGTTTTGTTATATATATAGTTACATGAAAAATCTCAATCAGTGAATGCCCTTGAGGTGTTCATAAATGAGGTGGAAAGGCAATTAGATAGAAAAGTAAAATTGGTGAGATTGATAGAGGTGGTGAATATTATGGTAAAACTGATGAGAATGGACAATGTCCAAGTCCATTTGCAAAGTTTCTTGAAAGTCTGGGGTATTTGTGCACAATATACAATGCCCGTACACCACAACAAAATGGTGTAGCGAGAAGGCGGAATTGTAATCTTATGGATATGGTTAGGAGTATGTTAAGTCATAGTAATATTCCTTTATCTTTGTGGATGTATTCAGTTAAAGACTGATGTATATCTGGTTAACAGGGGTTTCCTAGCAAAGCGTTTCTAAAACTCCTTATGTGAACTATGGACTGGAAGGAAACCCAGTTTGAAACATCTTATGTTTGGGGTTGTCCGGCAGAGGTAAGGTTATATAATCCACATGAAAAGAAGCTTGATGCAAGACCATTAGTGTACTTATCGGTTTATCCTAAAAAATCCCCCCCCCAAAGGTTGTTACCAATGAAGAAGCATTGGAATAAATTTGAAGATAAATGATTTTGATGATGATGAAAGACGATACAAAGGGAAAAGCACGTAGATAGGAAAAGATGTAGAGGAAAAGCTTGGGGGGGCGGAAGCAGGAAACGGAGAAAAATTCGTATTTCTAGGAACTAGTATACGCATTTAATCGATTATTGAAGCTTAATCATATCCTGAGCCCTTTGAAAAACCTCGTGCTCTAGAATAATGATTATTACTCCAAAAATCGATTATCACTAGTTCTGATGAGAACTGCCAAAGTCTCTGGAATAATCGATTGATTCCTCAGGATAATCGATTACACTTTTTGAAAAACCATCTAAACGGACTCGAATAATCGATTATCACTAACAATAATCGATATCTGTGGCAGTTATAATTCATCTTTGCGAAATTAGACCAGTTGGGTATATAGGTTAGTTCCAAAACTCTTAGACATATACTTTGATTTTGAGAATACAGTGTGATCTGAGGAAGTTCCAGAAGCTAGTTCATTGCACTGCCTAGTCTCGTGAAAAGGAGAAGCTCCGCTTTGTGGGTCAAAGGTCGGAGCATTCTCTTCGAGTTGGCAACACTACTGTTCTTCCAGTTGTTGGTCAAAGGAAGAACTGTTCTGCACTGTTCCAGTTCGTCAGTCGAAGGAAAGTGTAGAGATTGCTTGCTTCCAGTTCGTGGTTCGAAGGAAGGTTTTATCTCTCTGTTTTTTATTCACTTTTATTGTAATTTGTTGAAACTAATTTTAGTTAAATCGTTAATCACTTTTTATACTGATTAACAACTGGACGTAGATTCTTTTGAATCGAACCAGGATAAAAATCCAGTGTGTTAATTTTTTTTCCTATACTCTTTTCTGTTTTATGCACATTAACTGTTTGATAAATTTTCTCTAATGTTTTTCTAAAACGGACCATCTTATTACAAGTTTGACCGAACACGCTTTTCCGCTTTCTATATTTTATTCCGCTGCGCGACTCTATAACGGTACCGATTGTTCCGACAAAAGGGATATAGATTTTATTTCCCTAACCATAGTACAAGAATAGTTGAGTCTGGAAATGCTCGGTTCATTGAAAATGGTCAATTAGTGGGAGTGAGGAATCCAAATAGTGGATATTCAAGAGCATACGATAGTGTTTCTACATTAATGTCTCTTCTGAAGTTGTATCCTCTTATGTATCACAGTCACACAACAAGCAGAAAGAGACAAAACACAAAAATTAATGTTCCAATCCAAAAAAATGAAATATAAAAGGTGGAGAAAATTGAAAAGGAGAAAGTAAAAAATGAGAATTACATGGAGTAACCTCCCAAATTTATTGCTCAGGAGGAGTCTTTTGGGTTGGTATTTCGTCTTCTATGTCGTCTTGCAAATCATTAGCAATTTGATGTCACTCGAGTACAAAAGCAAATATTTTCACTAAGTCTTTATGGATTATATTAGTAACAAGCTTGGTACATACAATTTGTATGAGCTTGAGGAGAAGTGTTAGATATATTATCTCTATTTTATATTTATCCTTTATCTTTGGGTGTTGCTCCCTCCACCACCACTCCTTGCTCCCTCCACCTCCCCATTCCTGTTTTACCCCTTCCTCCATCTTTCTATTCATGTTTTACCCTTCAGTACAATTTTATTTTTAGGATTAATATTTTTTAATTTCTACCCACTCCAATCTCTTATATGAACGTAAACGGGATGCTCATATCCGTTTAAAGTTTAAATGTTTATTTTAGGGTTTATTTTTATTAGTTTATTTTTTTATATTAATTTTGAAGATATTTTAATAATGTTGGCTGGGATCATAGAGGAGAATCTGGTATCCAGCCTGGTCATCAGTTTGATTACAATGCCTCCCATAGACTTTGGAAGAATTAGAGTTGGAGTATAAGAACGAGGCAGCAGAGCTAATGAAAATTTGTTATAGAGAAGAAGATGAAGAAAATTTCAAGCATCAGGAGGCTATTAGAGATTTGAGGGAGCAATACATAAGCAAAGTTGGCTTGGTAAGGGCTACACATGCAAAACAGTGGGAAGATTTCCTTCAGCATGATGCGTAGAGGCTTCAACAGCAAGCAGTTCAACAGATGTCTTCTGGTTATCGAGGTTTTAAACAACAAAGCTTTCCTGAATATGATGGGTCCTTTGTCAATCCTCCTCCCTATGCTGGGACGAATTTACCATTGGATTCAAGGATATGGAGACAAATGGATATGGAGATAAACGGATATGGAAACAAACAAATATGGAGATAAACGGATATGGAGACAAACAGATTTTTGGAGACAAACAGATTTGGTGAGAGTGGGGTGGGAATCTGGAAAGAGAGAAAGTGAGATTTGGGAGAGTTAGGGGTAAAATGGGTAGGAATATGGCGAAGAAACAAACTGATATGAAAAAAAGGAGATGAGAATAAACGAATCTGAGAGTTGGAGGGTGGAAATCTAGAAAGAGAGAAAGTGAGACTTGGAGAGTGAGGGGTGGGGCTGCCCGAGTGAAAATGGATAAAAATTTAGGATTTCAGAATAAAGTAAATAAATAGAGAGAAAAGTAAAAAATGTTACTTTTATAATTAAAATATTTTTGGAGAGGGTTGGGGAGGTGAAGAGAGAAGGGATGGTGGTGGAGAAAGCAACATCCTTTATCTTTAGTTAATTTACTATTATTTCTATTTTGGACTTAATCCATATTTTTTCTATTATAAACAGAAGACCCTATATATATATATATATATATATATATATATATATATATATATATATATATATATATATATATATATATATATATATATATATATATTTAATACAAGAGAGATAATCCTATAGTTTTTCACTGTATTCAACAAGATTAATTAAACAATTAACTAATCGCAATTGATTGGTTTCTTTCAAGCTTAGACTATCAATATTATTATTTTGATCCGTATGTACTGGACGTACATTAAATACAGTGTGTTTTTATTTTGGGCGTACATACTGTACAGTTGGTTGGAATGTTTTTATTTTGTTTCATAGTTCTTGAAATTAAACTGAATTTGTATTCATTTACTTTAGTAAAACCCCTATTATCTTGATATTTCTTAAATATCTTTAAACATGTGCACCTTAGAATATTCTAAGAGCGTTTTTTTGTTTTTACCAAATATCTTTACTTTTGTTCATACATCTATAAACTTCTTAGAAATATATTACCTCTAATAGTAACCGAAACAAAAAGAAAATAACTATAAAAATGAGATGATGAATACTGTTTATAAACTTTCACATTAAAACCTATTAGATGCAAATAGAAATTTTACGTATTTTCTTAAAAAATTTAAATAAAAAATAATTTAAAACAAATATTTCTATTTTTTTCTTAATAATGATTATAGATAATAACAATGTTTACAATACAAATAAAGAATAAATATATAACCAAACATAAAACTATTAAATAATTTATTTCTTATATATTTATTATGTAAGAGTTATGTCAAGAGTACTAAATATTTACTCAACTTAATTCTAATTAAGTACATTAAATAAAAGTAAAATTCAACCAAATCCACCTAAATATAAGAGTTTAGTAGCGGATCCTGTAACCCTACTTAGAAATAAGAGTAAACTTTTTTACCTTATAGAACTGTGATTATATATATATATATATATATATATATATATATATATATATAATGAGAGCAAATATAATTTCTTATCTTTTAAGCGTGAAAGCAAAGACTCTTAAAACTGAAAATGAAGTAAATGTAGCGGTAATTAAAGTTAAATTATATAAAAAGTGAAAAAGAAAAAGTGAAGATTTTAGAAAATATAGTAAACAAGAATTAGTCAGAGAAATTTAAGAGGAAAAGTGTCTAATCTTTTTCGCATTTATTTTTGGTCATTTGGGATGAAAGAAATGATCGATCCAATCGGTTTACTCTTGATGGAGTATTGTTGACTTTGCAATTTTTAAAGACTAAGTAAATTTTATTCTTATTAGAAAATCATGTTTGCACCATAGCATGCAAAAGGTGTTAATCAAATAAGTTGCATGAGTGGCAGTTCATGACATACGAAAATCTTTTTCCCAACTTAACATATGTGGTACTTCAAGGGCTGTGGAGCATGACATCTCCTGACCTACGTCTGTCCTAAACTAATTCAAGACTCCAAATTGTTGATCTTTCACCCCACAAAATTTCTTCCAAACGTTAGAGTACATAACGGAACTAGTGTTGTTCGAATCAAAGCCAATTCCGAAGGTAAAAGAAAACAGTTTCTGTGTTGGAAAATGTAAGTGAATCGAAAATAAATAGGTAAAATTAAAATTCAAGGTATTGTGATTGGGTGACCTATCGCAGAATCATGGCTTAACTTTCAGGTTATACATCCAGGGTCAACTGTTAATGCCACCGATCGAAGCATGTAAACAAAGTTGTTGCATTGATGGGAGTTTGTTATATCTGTACATTCTATTTGTCAATCTGAAGGGAATTACTATAGACCAACTTATGGCAGAGTGAGCTACTCGAGCATTTTCTGGGACTGGAAAACTTTACGATCAGCTACCAAAGCAGGATTATCATGCTCTGAGTATGCAGCCAGATTGTTATGCGCAGGGTTGGCGGCAGTCCGACAATCTGAGACGTTACCATCATCGACCTGGTTATCAGATTCAAGAAAAATGTAAGGGCATGTACATATTACCATTTGGATTACTAGATAATAAATGAATGCATGCCTGCTCAACTGGTACAAGAGACTGTTCATGATTTCTCTTGGAAAGGTCTCTTAAAGCACCCTGCACAATAACATCGTCAAAAGGTGGAACACCAACAACTATAACCAATCAGCTAAAAGATAATCGCAAATTCAGAATTGAGCAATTTGAATTCATTCTCATGAACAATATATTTGCACCTCCCCCAATGCAAGATTACGTGCCTTGCAGATTAAGGGGAAAATGTTAAATTGGCTCCCTGTGAATCTAGTAGAAGAAAATTAGCACCAAAAGGCACAGCTTGAGGTCATCATATGCATTTCACGTCATATGCAGTTTGATTAATGGATTACATATGTAGCTACAGTACATACTAGAACATCTATAACAGACAAACAGACATTGCTCTTAAATATATTCTACAGATAAAACTAAAAACACTTCAATATGGACATTAAAGCTGCAATAAATTTTAAAAATCTTACCACATATACAGAAAAAGAAAAAATAAAATACAAAATTGTAGGTTTTATATAGATCAACCCTTCCCAATTCCAATACAAATGGAGTAAAGGAGCATGCTATGCTTGAGAATGTATATGTTGATCGTTACTAGGCAGCCATTGATATAAATTTCTATAGTTATAAGAATATATACATCTAGACATTAATTCAAACTTGTATATAATTTTTCCCCGAAAACAAAAGCAGTATGATGAAAATACCTACCCTATTTGCCCAGAAAAGCCCACAAGCATTGCAAAGTGACCTTGGACCAGACGGCCCTCGCCGCATCATTGGGGTGGATTTTGAACTAGTGCCACAATGTGTGCATCTGTAGACACATGCCACAAAAAAGAAATGATAAAACATCTAGTTAGAAACCTCCCAGTAAAGGGAAATTAGCTTCATCTAGTAATAACTTCTCAATATAAGTCTCTAATAATGTGAATTATATAATTATAAAGTGCGACAAATTGTATGGCTAAAAGAAAATATAATTAACACAACTCACGAGGTTTCTGATTGACTATCATCCTGTCCTGAATCTTGGTCTGTACCATAACTATTAGCTCCATCTTGTTTCTTAGATGAAGTGAATTGCCCCTTATTACGGTGCATCCTACATTTATTTATCAAATAAGTATAAATAGGCACTGAAACAACTAACATATAACAGTTAAAATGATGAGTGAAACTAAAAGGGGAAACATTTACAATGTTGAAAAATTAAAGAGATTATAAAAGATTCATTTTCGAGATAACAAGTCCAAGAAAAACTCACTGAGTTGTAATGCTGTTACATTATACATTATATTAAATTCTTGGTGAACTAAAATTTTGCGAGAGTAGAGAAGGAATGAAGTTTCTTGTTAACCGAAATAAGTCTATGGGTCAATATTTTTCTCATATAATAGGAACACAAGTTTAAGAAGAAAATAGATCATCCAAATTTTAAAATCTCGGCATCAAAATCAGTCACTTACAAAAAGATAACATGGAGTAGCTTTGGAAATCTTGTAATAAAAATAAAGCAAGTTTCATTTTAAATTAAAAAAAAAAAGCTTAAAAAATAAAATTACTACAGTTAACAAAGTTTAAATTACACTCTGAGATTGCAAAAGTTTATTAGACATCAGCTTACATTAATACGTAACCATAGCTTAACAAGATTAGACATTAAATTCAAATTCAAATCCAGTTCCACAATCAGAAAGGACAGGATTCTGTATAGTTGATTCTTTCACAGTTACCAAGTTAAATTTCCCCTCAACACATGATGGCAGAGAGTCAGTTGGGTATTACTACCCACTCAATATAATGTATGTAACTAAATATTATATGCCAGTTCAAACTTCAAAACTAGATGGCAGTTTAAAAGCACATATTTCTGTATTAGAACAGTTTATATGGATGGGCTCTAGCCGTAACTTCACCAATTCCCAACGAGTTGAACACAAGTCTATGTAAAATGAAGCTCGAAGCCAACACAATATTTTGTAAAATAAAGTCTAAAATCCAGCTTGCTATCGTTTCAATTATTTAGCATACTTCCCAATTATATTATATTTACTACCAGTAAATTATTTGATTTGTAGCAACATAGCAAACTCTCTCAGTTATCCATAAACTTTTATACCCAGATTGTAAATAATTATGTACATGTTCATACAGTTCAATCTAATACTCGCAAGTTCTATCGCACACCACAGAATCTTAATTATCAAACAAACCTGAGCGCAACTTCTTGCCGTACACCATATCTCACTTTCTTATCAAAACATCGCTCTTTCCTCTTCTTCCTGAACCTATCTAACGACGCAGCTCGCTGTGGTAGACTACATCTTGCAGGATATTCCATTGAACCCTGCAGAAGGACCCAAAAATATTTAAAACACTACCCAGCACTGAGAACGTAAACATTAATGAAATTCTACTATGAATACCCACACATCACTTTATCATTGACTAAGTAACCTTGCAACAATAATCTCCTGATATCAGTACATCTACCACTAATGACCAAATATTAACAAATTTGGTCAACCAATGATAGGTCTGCCCACAACATAACTTTAAGTTAAGTTGATTACCACCGAACATCAAAGTTACTATTCAGTATTTACTACCTGACTCTGGTTAATAAATATACAAATCACAATGTCTCACTTTATCAATATCTGGTGGGACAAAGTACTCTGCATCAGGTGATTTTACTAATAAATCAATTGTAAAGCGATACAAGTGCAAGCGGGTGTGAATAATATATAATATTCTTCTATTATCAGAAAATACCCTCTGATTCTGTTGAGGCACCACATCCACACATGGCGAACCACTCGAAGACAGTTCACATCCACCCAACAGTAACAACACCGCTTGAACCTGCCACGTGAAGCCAAATACAGATTAAATTTATCAAAGTAATTAAATAAATAACTTCACGCCCCGTCCATCAATTCAATGAATTACCAAAAACCATAAAATAAAATAAAAAATCATACAATTGCAACGCCGAATCAACGAAGAACAAAAGAAAAAATGATAAACAAAAAGGAACCACAAAACAAGGGAAAATAAATAAGGACGAGGAAGGGGGAAATTGCACCTTATCAGGCGTAACAGCATCGAAGACGTAAACTTGGCCACGAAACGACAGCGTAAGCTGACTGGACTCTTCGGGCCCTCCACCGCCGGAGACGTAGACCGCATCGGAAGTGACATCCTCGACAACGACCATGGCACCGGCGGCACCGTCTTCGAGCGCGTGAGTTTCGTAGTGAATGTGGTGGTGGGCGTCGAGGGCGGGGTCGGGGCCGGAGCCGTTGCTTTCGGCGGCAGAGATCTGCGGAGGCATGTTCAGTGGCTGGGAGTGTCCGTACATTGCTGGTGGCTCCATTGTAGGGCCCGGGAATCACAGTGCATTACAGGGAGAATTGGAGGGGAGTTGGAAACCCTAACCTAGTGGGATTTTAAATTTGATTCCGATTTGTGAGTGTTTTTGAGAGAGAGAGTGTCTGTGTGAAGGGACGAAGGAATGGAGGGAGTGAAGGTGGAAGAGAAGGACAAGACAGGAATTGATTCAGAAAAAGGGAGAATGAAAAATTGACCTTGTCAGTGCTCATATTTACGAGGCTTGCCCCCTTCGGCCCAGGCCCAATACGCATGCCGCATGCCGCATGCCACTTGCCCCATGGAATTTCAAGTTTTCAATAACCGACTTTATTTAATTTAATAATAATAATAATAATATCTCTCACAAAACTCAACACTATTTAATTATTTATTTATTTATTTATTCGTAATCAATATACCGTTTTCACCATCATCACTTCCTCTCTCATCCACTGGGTTGTTCACAAAAATTTACATCATCAACTAAATTGTTTATAATTAAATGGGAAAACGTTTATTTGAAGATCCAAAATTTGTCAACTTTTTGATAATGACACGTGTTTTTTTATTGGTTGGTTTGTAATATTTTATTAAGAGGGTCATTTTGTTGTGGAGGGTATTTTTAGAAAGTCATTTGAGATTTTTCTCTTCATTTCGCGGTTTCATTTGAGACTTCCTCACTCTTCACCATTTTTATTTCCGTCTTCTTCATCTATCTCCACCATTTTCATGGAGCATTGCTTTCATTCTCGCGGGTCTTCCTATCCATTGAAAGAAATTTCACCTTCTATGTGTTCCGTTTTCGGGTTGGCGGCATTTTCCTCTTCTTCGTCTCTCTCCACCATTTTCACTTTGTCTGGAGCATGGGGTCTTCCTCTTGATTGAAAGAAATTTTTCACTCGAGTTGGAACTTGCACATGTTTTTTTGTATACAAAAGATCAAGATTATAAATGTTGGGTATTATGTACTGATAATATATTATAGGAATAAAATTTCAATTTTGATCTAGTACCATATGTTCTCTACTAGTGTTGTTCGACCATATATATTGAAACTTTTATTTGGTTATGGGTGTTTGGTACAAAAATTGATTTTGTAAGCGACCTTGATAGGCCTGAGTGTTGGTGCCTAAAAAAAGATCCAATTCAATTGAGTGTTGGTGCCTAAAAAAAGAATCACATCACACAGGTGCCTAAACAAAATATTCAATTCAATTACGTAAAATGTCTTTGCTACTTATGTGCCCACAGCTGGCTCTTGCAACACCAGTTTTTGTACAAAACCATATTTTTGTTCGTGTAATCGTTTATAGGGTCCTTGTAATCGATTATAATGGCCAAAAAGGCCTACACTTGATTACTAAGGCATATTTTGAAAGGTCTTTGAGTCTAGAATCCAACAAAACAAGAATCAACTCATTTGGAGATCAGTGGAGAAACAAAACAAGAATCAACTCATTTGGAGATCAGTGGGAAAGTTATGAGCAAAACAACCAGCAAAGGTCAGAGTTGGCAGGTATATATAAAGCGTTAACTTTAAGGAATAAACTGTACCTACTCAGATGTCCAAAAATTACAAATTAGTAGTCATTGGAAATCTTTTTTATTCTATTTTCTAATATAAAAAGAATCACATCATTTTGAGGTCGGTGGTAAAATTTATCATTAAAATAGCCAGCAAAGGTCAAAGTTGACAGCATGTTAACTTGGTCATGACACCAACATTCGTCTTTCCTCCCCCTAGGACTGCCCAAAATCTAGTTTTCAGGCTCTACTCACACTTAAACATTAAAAAAAACTCTCATCCATTCAAGAAATATGAAAAAATTACGTAAAATGTCTTTGGCTACTTATGTGCCCACAACTGGCTCCTGCAACACAAGTTTTTATACAAAACCAGATTTTTGTTCGTGTAATCGCTTACAGGGTTCTTGTAATCGATTACAATGGCCAAAAAGGCTTACACTTGATTACCAAGGCATAATTTGAAAGGTATTTGAGTCTATATTTCAACAAAATAAGAATCAACTCATTTGGAGTTCGGTGGAAAAAGTTATGAGCAAAACAACCAGCAGAGGTCAAAGTTGGTAGGAATATATAAAGCGTTAACTTTAAGGAATAAATTGTATCTACTCAGATGTCCAAAAATTACAAATTAGTAGTCATTGGAAAAAGTTTTGATTCTAGTTTCTAATAAAAAAAGAATCACATAATTTGGAGGTCGGTGGGAAAATTATAATTAAAATAGCTAGCAAAGGTCAAAGTTGACAACATGTTAACTTGGTCATGACACCAACCTTGGTCTTTCCTCCCCAAGGACTGCCCAAAATCCAGTTTGCAGGCTCTATTCACACTTAAACATTTAAAAGAACTCTCATCCATTCAAGAAATATGAAAAAATTACGTAAAATGTCTTTGGCTACTTATGTGCCCACAGCTAGGTCCTTTTAGTCCACCTACCTTGGTTAAAAAACATATATGGGCTTTGACCTTTGCTGACTATTTTAATCATAACGTTTCTCACTTACCTCCAAATGATGTGATTCCTTTTTTTATTAGAAAATAGACTAAAAAATATTTCCAATGACTGCTAATTTGTAATTTTTGGACATTTGTGTAGGTAATGTTAATTCCTTAAAGTTAATGTTTTATATATTCCTACCACATTTGACCTTTGCTGATTGTTTTGCTTTTAACTTTCTCCACCGAACTCCAAATGAGTTGATTCTTTTTTTATTAGAAAATAGACTCAAAAAGCTTTCCAATGACTACTAATTTGTAATTTTCCCATCTAAAATAAGAAACATGAAACAATAACTTGAAAGTAGATTCATTTAGGTAGCTTAGAAAAACCTTGTGTTTGGGAAATTAACTGCATCTAGTACAATGATCTAAAAATTATGGATTGGTAGTCATTGGAAAGCTCTTTGAGTCTAGATTCCAACAAAACAAGAGTCAACTCATTTGGAGTTCGGTGGAGAAAGTTAAGAGGAAAACAAACACCAAAGGTCAGAGTTGGCAGGAATATATAAAGCGTTAACTTGAAGGAATAAATTGTACCTACTCATACGTCTAAAAATTACAAATTAGTAGTCATTGAAAAGCTTTTTGAGTCTAGTTTCTAATAAAAAAGAATAGCATCATTTGGAGGTCGGTGGGAAAATTTATCATTAAAATAACCAGCAAAGGTCAAAGTTGACAACATATTATCTCACTCAAATTGCCTTTGGCTACTTATGTGACCACAATTGCCTCCTGCGTTAGACGTTTTTGTACTAAACCAGAATTTTGTTGGTGTAATCGTTTACAAGGCCTTTGTAATCGATTACAAGGCACAAAATTGTCTGCACTTGTTTTAGAACGTGAACCAACTTGTCCTTGAAATCAACATTGGGTCTTTCCTTCACCATGGATTGCCCAAACCTCAATTTCCTCCCTCTAGTCACACTTAAACACTAAAAACAACTGTAAAGAAATATGAAAAAATAAAGTAAAATGTCTTTGGCTACCTGTGTGGCAATAACTAGCTCCTACAGCATAGGTTTTTGTACAAAACCACAATTTTTTTCGTGTAATCATTTACAGGCTCATTGTAATCGATTACAAGAGACAAAATAGGCTACGCATGCCGCCATAGATGCAATGAAAATTGGTGATATCATTATTCATGGATGGTACTGATAACGGTTGAAAAATCGTTATTTTATACTTAATTTTGATAATCAATCAACCTTTTTTGACTTAGAAACTTGCTTTAACTCATGTTTTTGTTTTAGTTTTCTGAATAAGAGAGTTGAAGGTGAATTTAATGGTTTTGTGCTAGATTCCCTTGATTTTGTAGGCTAATTGAATGATTTGAAAGAAGAGTTAAAGTACCGACTGGTTGGAATGCAGAAAAGTCAACCAGAAACCATAAAAGTCAACCCTGAAAGTCAACCAATCAACCAAAATGTAGAAAAGTCAATCAGAGTGCAGAAAAAAGTTGCGCCGAGTTGCGCTGAGTGGTAATTACCGCTGAGCGCCACTTTTCAGGTGCCGAGATCACCGCTGAGGGGCAAAAACAGCAGTTGAGGGGCAAAACTGAAGTGTCGCACTTGCCGCTGAGCGATAAAAACCGCTGAGCGGTATTTTTATGGGCTTGGACTCCCTTTTCTGTAATATTTAGAAGTCTATATAAGGCTTTAGTCTTCCTAGGGTTAGTATCTTTGGCTGGGACGAAGCAGAAACACACTTTTCACCCCTTGGGGTAGAATTGGAGATGGTGACGGCTCTCCTCTTCTCTGTCTCGAGTTTTTCTATCTCTCCCATTCTTTCATTCCATTGTTCATCTAGTTCTTCCATGACGATGGAGAACTAAACTTTTATTGTTGTTGGGAATCAATGTAATCCTTTTGAAACTCTCTTGTATGGAATTTGTTCTTCAAGATCATTTTTATGATACATGCTTTCTTTCATTAATACTTAGGGTTTTTTCTCTTTGCTCAAAGCATGCATTGTTTAACTCATTCGATGTCATGATTATTAGTTTTGTCGATATGGACACATAAGGGGAAATTTAGATCTGGGGAATCTCTCCCAACAGTATATTACAAACCTAGACATAGGAGTATGATAGTTGGTTGCCTTTAAGCTTCTGTTCACTATAATGCATGATTAAATGCTAGGGAGAAGTGATTATGATTAGGCTTTCTTCGCCGAGACATCTGGTTTAAAGTAATTTAGAAAGTGGCATTAACATTAATGAAAAGAATGATGAATTCCTGAATACATGAGAGTGGATAGGATGAAATTGATAAACCCCAACAACATATTCATCCATACATTTCAATTCGCGTGTTTTGTTTCTTCTTGCCCATTGATCATCACATGCATACATATTTACTTTTCATTCTTTTGCATTTGAAACTTACCACAATTTGTTCACAAGTCTTAATTAATCAATAAATCACATAACTATCTAGGCCGTGATTCTCTTGGGAAACGATACTTGGTCTTACCAGGATTAGTACTTGATACGATTCGGTTACATTTGCCGAGGGTTAACAAGTTTTTGACTCCGTTTTCGGGGATTGAAAATTTGTTCATTAGGTACTCAATCGCATTGGCCACTTTGTTTATTCACATTCCAAACAACATCACATTTGACAATGACAATAACAAAGACATTAAAACTTCAATTATCATGAACAATAACCAACTTAA